CCTGCGCAGCAAACTGCGCCTGGTACTTGTCGTCCTGTTTCGCGATGGCGCTGGCCATAGCGAGCTGGACCTTCTCGAAGTGGGAGATGACCGCACCTGCGGCAGCCTCAGCGGTCACATCACGGGTAGCCTCCTTCGCAAGGTTCTGGGTGTCTGCGGGAAACTGGCGAACGAGCTCGAGGAAGCGCCCGTCCACCAGCGAGATCGTCAACCCCCCCGCCCGCAGGGGTGGCGCAACCGGAATTGCCAGCCCGCCTGAGCCCCCCCCATGCTGCCCACCAGCAGAGAAGCACGATGAGCAGGTGCACGAAGCGATGGCAGCCACCTGGAGCGCGCGCCGCGACTGGCTGGGATTGGTTTGACGACTGTGGCCACTCCAGGGGAGCGTCGGCAAGGTCGGGATTGCACCCTGCACCTGCCACAATCGCCATCCTTGAGACAAAAACCATGACGATCATGATGATGGTGAGGATGGTGATGAAATGATGACGATGATGATGACGACAACGCCGACGACGATGATGGTGATGTTGATGATGCTGGTGATTACTATGAAGATGGTGATGATGATGATTAATGATGGCGATGGCGATGCTGATGACTATGATGATGATGCCCACGATGGTGATGATGATGATGATGATGATGATGATGATGATGATGATGATGATGATAATGATGAATTTGATGAATTTGATGAATGTGATGATGATGATGATGTTTATGACGACGACGACGACGACAGCGACGTCGAAGACGACGACGACAACGACGACGATGATGATGATCAAAATGATGAAGCGGAAGCGGAAGCGGAAGACCGTCATCGCCCGGAGGCGGCCCAGTGGCGGGCGACGGGCGCGCTGGGCGCGCAGGCCCTCTAAGAGGACCAGAAGCATGGAAAATGAATTCAAAGGCATCGGTAAAACAATGCTGCGCGCGCTCAATGCTCAGAAGTACGAGACTTACTTCCAAAAGAATTTCACAAAAATCTTGTTCAAGGGACGCCCAATGGTCAATATCCTCTGCAGCATATATCCACGACGTCCACTGCTTGTGCTTGGCAAATGCAACGAATTCGTCCTCCCACCGTGTGAAACGTCCTGGACGAGATCTGACCGGGAACAGCAAAGTACCTCGGGATTGTTCTTCCCACCAAGAATGGTCCCTCCATTGTGTCGTTCGCTTCGTCCGACTGGAATTCGGCATGTTTGCTACTTTTCCGGCGCATTTCCACTCTGACCGTAAATGCTCTTCCACCCAACGGTGGAACCCTGCCTGTCAAGATGATCAAGATGATGATTAAGATGATGGTGCTGGTGCTGGTGATGGTGATGCTGATGGTGATGGTGATGGTGATGGTGATGGTGATGGTTATGATAGTGATGATGGTGATGATGATGATGATGGTGATGATGGTGATGCTGGTATTGATGGCGATGATGATGGTGATGATGTTGGTGATGATGATGGTGATGATGATGATGGTAATCATGTTGGTGTTGGTGATGATCAAAATTGATGATGATGATGATGCTTATGATGCTGATGATGATGCTGCTGGTAACAATAATATTAATCAGAATAACAACGATAGTAACATTGCGAAAAAAAGAATGATAACAACGATGATGATGGTGTTGCTGATGATGATGGTGATGATGATGATGAGGATGATAAGGATGATGATGATGATGATGATGATGATGCTGATGCTGATGATGATGACGATGATGATGATGATGATGATGATGATGGTGGTGAGTATGATGATGATGATTATGGCGATGACGACGATGACGATGATGATGATGATGATGATGATGATGATGATGATGATGATGATGATGATGATGATGATGATGATGATGATGATGATGATGATGGTGAGAAGGAGGGGAAGGAGGAGGAGGAGGAGGCGGAGAGATGATGAAGTGGAGCAGGAAGAGAGAGACACAGAGAAAGCGGGGGGGAGGCAAGGGACGCGGAGGAGGTAGGTGGGAGTTCGGACGAGCCGTTACGGTTGGGCACCGACTCTCCCCCTTCAGGAAGCTCCAGGAGGCTCCAGGAAGTCCCAGAAAGCCCCAGACGGCCCCAGGAGGCCCGAGGAGGCCCCAGGAAAGGAAGAACTGCAGCCCAGGCGTCCAGGAATCCAGAGCCCCCTCGGAAAATCCAGGGCGGCGAAGTTTGCGCGCACGGTGCTCTTCGATGAACAAAACAGAACAGAAAAACTTAACAGAAAACAGCAAAAACGTCTGCGCAGAGTCAATACTCCAGATTTCGTAACAAAGGGAGGGGGGTCTCATTTCGGGGGGGGTCTCTTCCAGGCTATCTTGGAGGGCCTGGGGTGGTCTGGGGACGACGTTTGGGAGGGTTCTCCCACGAGGGAGTGTCTGAAATGGCTTGTCTTGGAGGGTCCAGACCTCCTCCCTTTTACTACGAAATCTGGAGTAGTCTCCAGCGCCCAGCTCCCCTGGGCGTGGGGCGAGGAGGGAGGAGGAGGAGGAGGAGGAGGAGGAGGAGGAACGAGGAGGAGGAGGAGGAGGAGGAGGGAGGAGGAGGAGGAGGAGGAGGAGGAGGAGGAGGAGGAGGAGGAGGAGGAGGAGGAGGAGGAGGAGGAGGAGGAGGAGGAGGAGGAGGAGGAGGAGGAGGAGGGAGGAGGGAGGAGGAGGAGGAGGAGGAGGAGGAGAGGAGGAGGAGGAGGAGGAGGAGGAGGAGGAGGAGGAGGAGGAGGAGGAGGAGGAGGAGGGAGGAGGAGGAGGAGGAGGAGGAGGAGGAGCAGGAGGAGGAGGAGGAAAGAAGTCCTTTGAGATCCCAGGATGCCGTGGGAGGTTCCAGGAGGCCCTAGGAGGCCCAAGGCCCTGGAGAATACCAGAAGGCCACAAAATGCCCGAGGAGGCCCCTAGGAGGTGCCAGGAGGGTCCAGGAACCCCCAGGAGGCTCCAGGAAGCCCCAGGAAGCCCCAGAAGGCCCCCCCCGACCAGGAGGCTCCAGGATTGTCTCACCAAACCAGCTGCTTGCTTATCGATGGCCTTCGGCCCGCACCGCTGCTGCGAACCCTCGGAGACAAGCCGTGCAATGCTTGCCACGGGTGGCTGTCGGGACCCAGCGCGCTCCGGAGAGGGCTGGAGCTGGCAGCAAAATTCTGCAGCCCTCCGGGCATCGGGGGCTCGCCGTCGGCCAGGGGGGGCCCCAGAACTCATGCTGGAGGGCCCTCGCGAGGAAGGTCTGCACGCTGGTCCTGGCCAGCTTCGCCTTCACCGTGGAGTCAAATCGGGCGTGTCCCCCATACAGGAGGTTGTTGGACGAAAAATGGAAAGTGGACAAAAATATACTCCAACAGATCGTCTCCAAAATAATCTTTTCACTATCTTTGAACATTCCTCCTTTAGAGGGACAGGCCCGACTTCACCGTGGAGACCCCAGGAAGCCCCAGGAGGCCCCAGGAGGCCCCCCCCCCGGGACGCGCCAGGAGGCCTCAGGAGGCCCAGGCACACTCGAGATGACACCCCCTCCTGGTCGATCGCACGGGGCGAGGGAGGGGATGGAAGGGGGGGAAGGGCGAGGAGCAGGGGGAGGAGGACTGGAAGGGATGAGGGAGGAGCGAGGGAGGAGGGAGGAGGGAGGAGCGAGGGATGAGGTAAACAGGGAGCAGGGAGGAGGGAGGAGATTGGAGGGAGGAGAAATCAGGGAGGGAGGAGGGGGGGAAAGAATGAGCCGAAGGCGGATGAGGGAGGGGAGTGGGAGGAGACGGCCTCAGCGGCTTCGCCTCTCTCGATCGCGGACAGTTCGATTATCCGATCAGATGCCATCACGCCTGGGCAACGGCACACGGCTGCTCACAGGGCTACCGCTCGCAAGCCGTTGGCGGCGCGCACAAACGGCGTGGTCAAAGAGGATGTCGACGTCGCCGTACGGGAGGTTTCGGCGGTGTGTGGAGCTTCTCGCCGCAGCGACTGGACGCGGCTCGAAAAATCGGCCACGACGGACCCAGGGAGGGGTCCGAAGACCCTTTGAGCGGATTCAGGCCTCGTGGCGGCAGTGCGAAGTCGGGAAGGCTGGGTGCAGCCCAAGGCTCACCTGAACTCCAGACCCTGGTCACGTCCTGGCTGGGTCAGTTCGTGGCGGGTTAGCATCGAACCTGCGACCCCGATCGAGGAGAGAGCATCCAGAGGCTCCTCCTCCTCCTCCTCCTCCTCCTCCTCCTCCTCCTCCTCCTCCTCCTCCTCCTCCTCCTCCTCCTCCTCCTCCTCCTCCTCCTCCTCCGCCACCCTCGGCCCGACACCGCTCGTTGCCCTCGACACGCCATTGCTTCCTCTCGCCAGCACTCGCGCGGCGCAGTGGCAGAGAGGGGGAGTGAATGGGGGCGCGCAGGCGCGCGCTCAAGAGGGCACGCACGCGCGCGCACAGGAGCACGCGCACAGGAGCACCGTGCGCACGGGCCCGCGGCACCTGAGCATGCTTTCCCGTCGCTGGCTGCAGTGTGCTTCAGGGCGTGAAGTGAGGGGGGGCGAGCACTGGGGAGGGGGAAAGAAAGGGGCACCGCTTCGGGCCCTGAAGGCCCCCTCGTCGGGCCCCACAGGGCCGCTTCGGGCCCTCGCTCTGCGGCGCTCACTGCCCCCCGTGGATCGCCCCCCGATCACGCGAGGCCCAAGACTTCTGGACTCGCGTACTTCCAGGCAGAGTGGGAACAGAGAGGCGTCATCTACGATACCGAGTGCACCTGGCCCCTGTCTCGCCTGGCGAGCAGCTATCAGATGCTGCGCAGCAAAACTGCAGCAGTATATGGATCACGCTCCGCTGTCTGAGGATCAGATAGCAACTGGAAGACCCTGAACTGTGGACTCCGCCTTCGAACGCTGTCGGGGCAGTCCAAACGTACGATCCTGGCCCAGCATGAGATCGTGCAATAACAATTCAAAGATAAGTTCGCTTCCCTTGGCTCAAGCATGAAGCTTATGCCGGAAAGTCGTCACATCATCATCGCAGGAGGCGCGCGCCCCTGGGGCGTTGTACCTGCCCATCTTCGTTCGCCAGGACTGCAAGCTTGAAAACAGTGCACATCTGGCTCACTCCACATACCCCACTCGGTTGACAAACTACACTGACAAACTACATTTGTGTCCGGGCACATGGGCTCCGTCCGTCTTCTCACGTCCTTCATTGCACGATGCTACAGAGTGACGACGGCACGTTCCTTTTCTACGCATCTGATCCAGTGACCCACGCGCGGAGAACAGTGATCATGTGGGCTCCGCCTCGAGGTCCGTCGCTTGCAGTCTGCTTGCATCACACATACAAAACAAGAAACATGGCAGTGAACCGCACCGAGCAGTGCTAACGATGCAGCCCAGGCTCCAGAGGGAAGAGAGATCTGCAGCGCCTCCACGCCGTGTCCACCTCAACACCTGCTCCTCCTGCTCCTCCTCCTCCTCCTCCTGTTCCTCCTCCTCCTCCTCCTCATCCTCCCTACAGGCCGAGGTTAGAGGAAAAATTGAGAATCGTTTCATTTTTTATACACAAAACCAAAACACAAAAAGGGTCAAAAACATACTACAAACAATCGTCCCCAGACTATTGTTTTACCATGTTTGAATATTCAATATTCCTCCTGTAAAGGGACAGGCCCGACTTAACCCCACCTCCCCCTTCTCCTCCTGCTCCTGGCGACGCGGGCACCACGCGCCCGGCGGCATTGCCATCGGAGGCACAGCCATCACCCCGTCAGAGCTGCGGCTGGGCACCGCGGTCTGATCCCAACAACTGTTCCGCCGCCGCGTATGCCGGCACAGCGAGTTCAGTGAGGAGGGGGGGGAGAGAGGGGAAGGGGGAGGGGGAGGGGGAGGGGGAGGAGGAGGAGGAGGAGGAGGAGGAGGAGGAGGAGGAGGAGGAGGAGGGGGACGGGGAGGAGGAGGAGGAGGAGGAGGAGGAGGAGGAGGAGGAGGAAAAGGAGGAGGAGGAGGAAGACGAGAAGGAGGAGGAGGACAAGGCCGACGAAGAGGAGAAGCAGGAGGATCGGGGGATCATTAAGGCAGGTCGCGAAAGCTAAACGAACAAAGGAAGCAGATGCAAACATGTACGGTGCTGCAGAATCTTGGGCACACGCTGCTTTTGGCGTCCAGGATGGACAGTCCTGGCCTGTCAAAACGAGTGTGAGACGATAGGCCAAACAGCAGACGAACTTCCATGCATGTTCAGAGCAACCCATACATCCACACCATTGCGCGCACTCGGGCCCATAGTTTGCCTCAGTGCTGCCCATCTCTGGGACTCTGGGACACACAGCTACACATCTCCCAGCAACGCACACACAGGCGGATGCCAACTATATGAAACCATCGCACACAGCCACGAACCTACACTTACCCGTGGATGATGCGATGTGGGCCCGAGGTGTCAGCTTGGCATTACGGTGTTTGCGCGTTTGTATATTTGGGTGTTTGGCGTTTGCTGCCTGCGGGGAGGGCGGGCGCGGCGCCAAGCCGCTCCGAACAGGGGAAGAGCTTGGTTGGGCCGACGCGAAGGACCCGGGGTGGAGGAGTCAAGGGGCTGGCCCGGGAAGGCTGCGGGCGCGGCGCCGCACCGCGCCGAGATGCCACGGCCAGGGCGGAGAAGGCGCCGAAGCCGCTCGCGGGAGGGGCAGGGCCCGGGCGAAAGGGGTGCTGGGAGCGGTGCCGCGCCGCGCGGGAAGATCACCAGGTCGGGGCGGATGGGGTGCAGGGGTGGGGGGCTCGCAGCGGAGGCAATCGTGCAGTGTTGCGGTGGGGCTGAGGGAGGGGGGGGCGGGGGCAATGGCGCGGCGCAGCGGGGGGGCGGCGGGCCCTGAAGGGGGAAGGAGGTTGGGCGGCGGCGCCGTGCCGCACCGGACTGTAATGGCAGCAGCCTTGGACACGGCCGCGGCGTTTGTACCGCGCGTGCCAAACCAAGAAGAAACAGAAACGGGACACGAGTGAGGGAGGGGGGTTGCGGCGCTGGTGCCCTGCAAGCCGACATGAAATTAACCAAGGACCAAACCACATGCAGTTGCGAGTGAGGCAGTTGTGAGGATCATTTTCGGTGGAACACCCTCAAGCGCCACAAAACGTGTGAAGGGCATGCCGATGTGGACGCCGAAATGGGCACGAAAAAAATGGGCACGCTGCCCAAAAACAAATGTTACGCAAAACCCAAAAAGGCAGCTGCTGGGCAGGCGGCCTTCTATCTCAAATGGACAACGCCCCGCGGCGACAATGACAGCGAGTCCTGCTCCAAATGAGCAGGACCTGTTGTCGGTTTTCCTACCCATCCTTTCCGCACCCATCTCGATCGCACCTAAAAGGGCACCTGGACGCAGACGGAGCGCAAGGACCCCTGCTCGCCTTGAACCAGCCAGTGCGCGGTCGACTGGAAATGAGCGAAAAAAACCGGATCTCACGCGAGATGGCGTAGCAACACCACGCCGCAGTTGACGCTGGCCGCAAGCGCGGCACGTTGCGCTGGAGACGAGGGCGATTACGCGCCACCTTTCGCGGCAAACTTGCGCGCCAATGTCGGTCAAGGCAGCTCCGTTTTTCTGCGCCTCTCAAATGCGTTCGCCGTGAAAGGGCCACCCCTCGCTCGCCGATTTTGCGCAAAGCTCGCTACACCTTGACAGGCGCCGGGTGCGCGGGACTCCCAGCGCAGACGCGCGCCGCGGCCAGCAGCAGAAGAGGCACGGGCGAACTAAAAAGGAAGCGCTCAGCGGAGCGCGAAAATTATGGAGACCTGACCACCACCCAGAGTGGATCCGACTGGGCGGGGCCCGTGGATCGCGCCGCATCGACGATACAGCGGCGAGGCATCGATGATGCATCAAAGATGCATCGTCACTATCAGCGGTGCATCGGCGACGTCGAAGCGAGGCACACTGGGATCCACATCGAGCGAGGGCCAGAACACCTCTGCGGGATTGGGCCGCTCGGCGGCGATCGGAGATAAGAAGCGGCGCCCTCGCGCGAACAGCCGCTGGCGCCCCGAATGCGAAGCTTCTCGGAAGACCGGCGCCGGTGATGGTTCAGTCCAGGCCCGTACCTCGCCGTTCTCGGCTCTGAGGAGGCCAGCGCCGGCGAAGGTTTAGCGTCGGTCCATACCTCGCCGTCCTTGGCTCCAAGGAGGGTCAGCTTCGGCTACTTTTTGGTCGGCGGGTCGGGAGCGGGCCCCTTCCGGTCAAAAGCTAGGCGGGGCGCGCGAAGCCCAAATTGGGAAGACAGGGCGCGGGCGGGCGAGGCCACAGGCGGCCCGAGGGCGCAGAGCACAGGCGGCGCCGAAGATCTTGCACAGGACAACGAACGCCATGGACTGGAGCAGGGGGCGAAGTCCCAGAGGGAGAGTGGATTGGCGTTGCCGTCATCTGCGCCCCAAGAACACCATCCTCGAGTGCTGCGCGAGGAGGGCCGCGAGCAAGTCAACGTCCGCGAGGTAGAGGGAAGGCGAAGTGCACCAGGTGCCACCGACTGGTGAGGAAAGGCTCAGAAGATGCGGAAGACCACGAAGTCGATGTGCAACGTTGCGCCACCGGGTGGTCAGTAGCGGCCTGGGGTGGTTGTCCAGCCCACGCCCAGGTAGCAGCCACGAGGTTCGGCATGAAGGCCGACTGTGTCCGCCTGCCGCGGGCCGGGCCAGAGCCGCGCTGCCCAGGGTGAGCAGGGCCGCCGAGGCGGCAAGGTGCAGCGCCAGCACCGGGCCGGAGCCGCGCTGCGCCTGGCGCCGCCGCCACGGGAGGGGGGGAGCGCGAGCGGGGAAGGAAAAAGCGGACAGGGAGGAGAGAGGCCAGCGTCCCACGCCCGTCGGAGTCCCGCCTACGCGCGCCGAGGTGCCCGCGCGGGGACACGTCCCAATACGCACGGGTAAGGCCCGAGGCCCCAGCGCGGGCGTGTCACGCACGTCGCTGCCGTACCAATGCGTCGCAGGTAAGAACAGGGGGGGGCACAGAGTCCCAGATCCTTGGGTCAAGTCCAGCCGATGGGTACAGAGGGGACATAGAGTCGCAGAACCTCGAATCACGCTCCGCCGATGGGTACAGGTAGGACACAGTGTCCCATATCCGTTGGAAACAGCCGATGGGCACGGGGGAGACACAGAGTCCCGGGTCAGGGAAACTCAATCAGCCCATGCATACAGGTAGGACACAGGAGTCCAAGATCCTTGGAAACGGGAGAGGAGGAGAGGAAGGGGAGGAGAGGACAGGCCCAGGTGAACAGGCGAATGCCAGCGTTTGGACGGCCGGCGCCACACGGGCGCGGGGTAGCAGGTAAGGGGGGGAAGAGGGACACGTGGTCCCAAGTTGGCTGTGGCTGGCTGGTTGGGCCGTGGTGCAGCAGGCCGGGCGTGGTAGGGCCGTGGACGCTTCCCAACCCAGGTGTCGTGGTACCCGGAACTGCGGGCCTGGTCCCCGTCGCGCCCGCCAACCTTAGCGACCCCCCTTTTCCTCTGCACCTCCTGATACAGCTTCTGCTCCCGCTCCCAGTCCACGTAGACACCTGCGCTGCTGGACCATCGGTCCACGTCGTAGTTGTTGGCCTTCATGTCATCCAGGAATTTGTCGATGATCCACTGCTGCCAACGGCGTGGGTCGAAGGGCGCCTGGTCTTTGGATTTGCCCTTGCCCTGTTCCTTTTAGTTGTGCCTTCACCACGAACGCCAGGCTACGTTACATTGGTACCCCCCTTTCCGTCTGCAACCTCTTCAGGTGTGTTACTGCTGTCTCGTTTGGGAGGCGCTGCCATCCAGCGCGGCACGCGGCGTGTGTCCCGCTGGTGACGGCGTGGCTGCGGTCGCCCCTGTAGCGAGAGCTGCGCTGTTCTGGCTGGCGCCAGGGTGCGCTAGCCGAGCCCTTGCCAGTGTCCTGGGTCCGGTCCCAGTAGCGCTCCTTTGTCCTTTGTTGTGTCCCAGTCAATGGCGTCGTGTCTGCGCCACGGCGCCCCCGCCGCGCTCAGGTTACGGTCGCGGTCACGGCCGCGGCCTCGCTCTCCTGCGCGCGGCCGGTCGTCCTCTCTGGACTCGCGCCTCACCGCCGTGGCACACAGCTCCCAGGCACCCTGCCGCGCGGGCGCTCTGGGGGGTGCGCCGAGAGAGGGGTGTGCGCCGGGCGCGGGTCCTCGGGGCCCCTGGAGCGGCCCCGCCTGTGCAGGTTCCGATCGTCGGCCACGGCCTCGGGACGCAGGATTGGCCCGGAGGGTGCGCGGGCAGCCCTCTGGTCGGTGCTGCGGGGGTCGTTCTCGGGGCTGGCGTGCCGCTCACTCAAAGAACTCGCCTTAGCTTGGCGCTCCTCAACGGTGCCCGAGTCAGAGGACGAGGAGATGGGGTGGACATCAGGGCCTCGGCGAGGCGCAGCTTCTCCTCTTTAGCCTGGTCTTCGTTGCCCCAGTCAGGGTCCTCCTCCTTAGGCGGCATGAGGGACGCAGGTTCGTAAGTGGGGTCCTGTGTGCTGGATTGCTGCGGGTAGGGCTCTGGTCGGGGCCTGTCCTGCATGTTCTGCGGACGCTGCTTCGTCTCCCGCGGTGCTGACGCCACTCGAGGGGTTGTCGGGGACTGCTGCCGCTTGCTTTCTGCGCACCTTCCCTTGGGCGCTCTCCAGCAAGGTAGCTGCGCGGAGCGCTGCGTCTCCACGGAGGACGCATACGCGAAGCGTCCTGTCGCCGACGCCTCGCACTTCCAGCCACTCTCCGCCGATCTGGACGAGCAGTATGCGCGCGTCCTGCTCTCGGGTGACGATGCGGAGGACGGGTCCGACGACGGCCCCATCCAG